CTGCTGGGTTCGATTAATCGAAATCGAACCCAGCGATCTGCTGGGTTCTCGACAACCCAGCAGATCTGCTGGGTTTCGAAGAAGAGATGGTAAATGATGAAACGAAAGAGATGATGAGGAGATGAGGAAAGGAGAAGATTAAAACCCAAGCCGGCAAACAAGGATCCAAGGGAAGAAGATGAAGAACGAAAGAGGTTGGAGATGAAAAGTAACGGGGAAGTAAGGGGCGACGAAAGGAGGAAGGAAAGAAAGTGATGTGTGGTTGAAGAAAGGGTAAAAATGTAATTTTATCTTTATAATTTAACATTTAATAATTTTATTTTTATAATTTATTTCATTATCAATCCTATGTGGCAAGGTATTTAAATTGTCACCTTTTTTTCCGTCAAGTAACGGTCCACGTCAGCCAGTTTTTAACGGAAGGACCAAATCGGGGTCAAAATGGTAAACAGTAGGGACTAAATCAGGGATTTTTTTAGTTCAGGGACCAAATTAGGGGTCCGTACAATAGTTGAGGGACCAAAATGGGGTTTTAACCAATTTATAATTGCTGAGGAATACGCCCTGGCGCAAAACCCAACTCCCTCTAAGAACTAGAACCTAGAGTGGAGAGATGAAAATCCGAGCCGGAAAAGGATGAGGATGGCGCAGAACCGAGGTCTGATGCCGACCTCCACACTGAGATTTGGAAGGCCGAACTCAACACCCCCGCAACAATCTGCAGGTAAACCTCTAGTTAATTGGACTCCCTTTAATCTGCCGAGGTCACAAATTTTTATGCAGATCAAGAATAAGATGGATTTAAGGCGTCCTGGCCCAATGAAAACTGCTGCTGCTAGCTAAGATCATACCAGATACTGTGATTTTCATCAAGATCACGGTCATACTACAGAGCAGTGCAACAGTTTAAGGTCCAAACTGGAAAGTCTAGCTCAGAAGGGAATGCTGAATGAGTACGTTCAGAGAGCGGCACAACCACGGTTTGTTAGAGAACAAGGGCCACAACCTCAAGGAGCCCGTAACCCACCAAACAGGCAAGGTGTGGGATATCAACAAAACCCACCTTCGCTCCCACCACCAGCTAGAATCATACACATGATCACGGGAGGTCTGGAAGCAGGTGGACTGAGCTCTAAACAACGAAAGCTGTATGTTAGAGAGGTTAAGCATCAGAACTGAGCTCAGAAACGGAAGATTGACGATGCTGAGTGGAAGAATCAACCAATTACTTTCACATCTGTTGATCTCGATATAGTTGTTACACCCCACAATGACCCCTTGGTCACTTCTGTCATGATTAACAACTGTGAAGTGCAGCGTGTCCTTGTCGACACCGGGAGTGCACCAGATATCATGTACTTCTACTGTTTCGAGAGTCTTGGACTGGATCCAGCATTGTTGCAGAAATATGATGGTCCCATCTATGGTTTCAACAACCAGCCTGTTCCGGTAGAAGGAGTTCTTACCCTCCATGTGGCTTTTGGGAGTGGCCTGACCTACGTAACCCCTTCAATCCGGTTCCTCGTCATCAAGATGGCGTCCTCTTTCAACATTGTTATTGGCTGACCCACATTGATTGAAATCCGAGCTGTGGTTTCCCAATCTCACCTCTGCATGAAGTTCCCAACTCCTATGGGAATAGCAACACTGCGAGGAAACCAGGAGGTGGCCAGACATTGTTACATCACCTCGGTAACACAACCAAAAAAGGGTAAAGATCAGACACTCGAGGCCATTCCCCAGCGAATTCCTGATAATCAGCAAGTTATGGGTGTTGAGATCGTAGATAATCTACCGGAAGATGAAACCAGAGCTGCTCCGGTCGAAGATGTTGAAGAAGTGCTCATTGATGACAGAGATCCGAGCCGAAAGATGCAGATCAGAACTAGATTGAACCCGGAGGAAAGAGCAGAGCTAATAGCTTTTCTCCGAGCTAACAATGATGTATTCGCATGGACTTCGGCAGATATGCCAGGAATTCCAAATTCAATATCTCAACACAAGCTCAGCACCAATCCATTGAAGAAACCAGTGGCCCAGAAGCGACATCTCTTCGGGGGGGAGAGGCTTCAGGCTATTAAAGAAGAGGTAGAGAAACTTCTACAAGCTGGTTTCGTCAGGAAAGTTGATTACTACGAATGGGTGGCTAACCCAGTCCTGGTGAAGAAGGCAAACGGTAAATGGCGAATGTGCATCGATTACACAAATCTTAACCAAGCCTGCCCCAAGGATTGATATTCGATGCCGAGTATTGACAAATTAGTTGAGGCGGCTTCAGGCAATGAGAGGTTAAGTCTCTTGGATGCATATTCTGGGTACCACCAAGTGCCGATGGCTCCCGAAGACAAAGAGAAAACCTCGTTCTATGCTGGTGATGAAATTTATTGCTATGTCATGATGCCGTTTGGCTTAAAGAACGTAGATGCTACTTATCAGAAAATGGTGACCATTGTCTTCCAAGCTCAGATCGGCAAGAATCTGGAGGTGTATGTCGATGACATTGTGGTAAAGAGCCTAAAAGCAGAAGACCATCTAGCTGATCTCGACGAAACTTTCAACAACCTCAGAAAGAACAAAATGCGGTTAAACCCAGCCAAATGCATCTTCGGCGTGGAGTCTGGAAAGTTTCTAGGCTTCATGGTGTCCCGAAGAGGGATTGAGGTCAATCCAGAGAAGATCAGAGCAATTGCCGAGATGGAACCGCCGAAATCAGTAAAAGACATACAGAGGTTGACTAGAGGGGTGGCAGCTCTTCATCGGTTCATATCGAAGTCAGCAGATAAGTGCCTGCCATTCTTCAAGATTATGAGGTCAGCC